TTCCCCGATAAATTCCATGTCGATCTCGTCGTGCGGGTCGGTGTATTTGGGGTTGTTGCCCGAGATGAGATAGAGGCAGGGGATCAAACCACCCGAGTAGCCCGAGGGGAGCATCATGTTGACGCGGAAGATGCCATAGCCGAAGTAGCCCTTGGACGTGAACTCTGCCAAAAAGAGGGTAAAGGGGAGAAGGGGAGTTGGAAAAGAGATGAGAAGGGGGTGGTCGCAATGGAAAGCAGGATAAGGGCTGAGATGGCAAGACTAGGGGCGAGGGGCGGGCGAGGAAGAGAGGAGGAAGGAGGTGGGGGCGGGGGAAGGAGGGGAGGAGGGGCGCGAAGGGAGGGTAAGAAGAGAACCGCGGAAGTGCCATCACGCGGAAAGTCGAGTGGCAAGAGGGTATGTCGACAGTGAGCCGTAGTCGTGGAGGATCGAGACATGTCAGGACTGTCGTCGTACATGCTGATATCCTTGCATTCCCTCGTAGGAGAACCACTCGGTACTAGGAGCCGTCGTAATAGGTGATTCTAGGAGTTGCAAGATAGATTGCAATTCATCGCAAGCAATCCGGCCGTCGATTGCTCACTTTACTGCCTGCATTGCCATTGCATTTCACTATCGTCATAACGCCTTCGTTGCACTCACACTTACTCCCCATTCGAGTAAGCGGTGAGCTGTGACGAGGTCCCCGCATGCGATGGTGATGCACTCACTGTCTGGCTTATTTGAGCAGGCGGTAACTGCTTATGAGGTGCCTCGGAAGGCCTATCCATATGCACAATACCCGCCGAATGGGATGATCTATCTTTTGCCGGTAATGCACTCACTGCCCATCTTATTCGAGTAAGCGGTGAGCTTCACGGAGCCGTCGTTCTGGCGCGAGCAGCCGCCGTCCCACTTGCAGAAGTCGGGCAGCGTCATAAACTTGTCGAATGACGCATCCTTCGCCGCCGCCGCCGCCGCCACGCAAGCCAGCAGCGCGACCAGACCTAGCAGGCGACTGAACGCCATGACTCTAAAGAAAGCGCCGCAGCGACACGGCAGCAGATTGGGATGCCTTGGGAGCAACAAGTTCGGGTTTCTTGGAGGGAGCAGAGCACGGGTGGGGACTGAGGCTCCCTAGAGACGAAATGGGCTGTGGTGGGGCTGCAGAGGAGATCCAGGGAGAATGGGTTGACAGACACGATGAGATGTGAGAAAATGAGGGGTTATTTGAATGGTTCAGTTCAGTTGTTCCGCGTTGTGCCATCCCATCGATTTGATTTGCGGAAGAATGTGCACTCGCGCGGAAAACTCAGACGCGGTGTCGCGCGCCCAGCAAGCGGAGGGACAAGCGTGAAAAAGTGGCGCAATCAAGTCAGGGAGGGGAGGAAGCAAGCGGAATTCTTGTCTTGCCCGAATCGGATTGTGGGGGAAATGTGTTGCGCAAGCTGCAGCTTTCGAGAGCGCAAAGCGCAATTAGGAAACTTGCTCCGCAGGCCAACGCAAAGCGCAACTTTGCTTGATAGGGTCGCGCATCGCAGCCCGGCCCACATTCTCGACTGCGCCGCTTCTGCAGGCTTCCTGTGAGTTACAATGCCCGCGTCGCTAGACGATTCGGGGAGGGGGATGAGGTTCCTTACGCGGTTCGCTGGCCCCTATGACATTCGAATAAGAGGCTGCCAACTGTCATACAAACCCCTCCACCGACAAAAGTCACGAGGCCTTCTTCTCTTGACGGTCTGGACGGTCATGATTGATCGCGATGTTCTGGAGGAAGTTTCAAAGGGTATGTGTACAGTTTATGGGACTACAAATAAATGCTATGTACCCTACACTGATGCAAGCTCGTGTCGCCCTTTGCGAGTGCTTGAGATGAATATCTCGCTTGTATCACTCGAGGCAAGTGGAGGCTTTGTGTGCAAGGTGGGAGTCGCATCATCGCATGCACGACGGGACTGGGGGAACCAATGCGCGGCGACGCATCGTTCTGTAGCGGTCAAGGCAGGCAACATCTGCGCTGCATATTGCCTGCCCAAGGCACTAGAGAACAAAAAGACGATCCGCAATGCAAGCTTCCTCAGGGTCGCTACATTGTGTAGATTTTGCAATGGCATACAGCATTGTTATGAATTAATCAGAGTAATAACAGGTAGTCTAATAAAGGAGTCATGATTCAAAAGTGTCCATACAAATGAGGGCCTAGGTATTTATAGGCACGAACAGAGCTAGCCGAGAACCACGCGAACAGGTTGGGGCAGTCCGGTTGGCGAAAGCCACGGAAGCGCCACGCGTCTAGGTTTGAGTTCATGAAATGGTTCGGGACCGAAATAGTTGGCAGAGCCTGGACTTCTGAGAGTCGAGGGCGTACGCGCTGTAGTCGAGCCCAGTAAGGAAAAGGGAATTTCCTTACAAGCACACATTACCAAATTGCACCACATTGAATGCCTGCATAGGGCAAAAGTATTCCCTCAACATTTTGCTCGTTAGAGAAAGCACCTACGTACTTCTCATTTGAGGACCTCAATGCCATGCCCAGAACCTTCTATGCGCGGACCTTGTTTCCCCACTTGAATCTCAAGCTTGATGATACATTTCCGTCACAAAATAAGCTTGCCACTTGCATCCCAGGGTCTACTACTGTATGCCTTCCCTTTCATGGAACGCTTCTTGGCAATGCTTCCATCCTCCATGCGGTAATCGGGGAAGTAGTCAAGGAATGCCTTGGTTCCGAGCTCATGCGACCCTGCAAACAGGAATCCCTCGATGAACTCCTGCACGGGTGGGGTGGCGGGCAAGGGTGGCGGGCAAGGGTGGTGATCAGAGACATGTAGTAGAGCTGAGTGGACTCAAAACGAAATTAATATCGTGCGACCGTGCGAACAGGAATTCCTCAATGAACTCCTGCAGTGTGGGGTGGATGGAGGGCAAGGGTGGTGATCAGAGACTTAGTAAAGCGAAGCCGTCGTGCCGATCTCTTGGGAGCGTGCATGTAGAAATCCCTCCATGACCTCCCAGGAGCTGAGATAAAAGGGAGTAGTTGGAACGCGGGAAAGTCAAGGATGGACTATCAGCCGAGCTCTTGGGAGCCTGCAAACAGAAAACTCTCATAAGAACTTCTAAGAATGGTAATGGAGGGAGGGCAGGGGCGGAGTCAGAGGGAAGCGCAGAAAAAAAACACCCCTCTACCAACTCCTGGGAATGGGGATGGAGGGATGGGAGGAGTGAGAGGGAAGCATGGAAATAGTAATCCCTCTATGGAATATTGGGAACCTGGGATGATGATGGGAGGGCGGGAAGGGAGAGAGGGGGGAGGAAAAGAATAGGGGGAGGCGAGATTGGGGAGACAGAGAGATAAAGAGAGATGGAACAAGCGAAAGGGCCAGTAAATGGGAACACACGATAAGACGCTCTCAGGCTAGGCAAGAGAGGTCGCAGTGGCTTGGAATGAGGCCAAACTGGCGTTGGTTGGTTGGGTGGTTGGTCAACTCACCTCGCATCTCTCGGAGCCAAATAGCCGTGTGATAGAAAAGTAGTTTTGACACGTCTCAAGACTACACTTCTAAAACTACACTTTTGAGACGTATCAAAACTACACTGCTAAAACTACACCTTTCAGACGTCTCAAAACGACATTTCTAAAGCTACACTTTTGAGACGTCTCAAAACTACACTGCTATCACTTGGTCAGCTCACCTCGCATTTCTCAGAGCCGAATAGCCGGGTCAAAAGAGGCCGCCCGGGGTCCTGGGAATGAGTGTGAGAGTGGGTGAGTGGTTGTGTGAGTGGGTGAGAGGGAGAGAGGTGGAGAATGGAAGGGAGAGAAGTAACAAGAGATGGAGAGAGAGTGAGAGGGAAGAGGCCGCTTCAGAAAGAAAGAAAGAAAGGGCCAAAAAAAAGAAGGAGACGCAAAATAAAAGAAAGAAGGGAAAAAGAGAAGAAGGAGAAGGAAGGAAAAAGAGAAAGAATGAGGAAGGAAAAAGAAAGAAAGAAAACAAAAGAGCAAAAAGAGGAACAAAAAAAGAAGACGAAAAACATGCAACACCAGGATGGCACAAGTAACCAGCAGACAGATCGCCAGCAGATGGAGTGATGCTGGGACTCCATCCTTGTTGTGAGCCATGGCTGCTGGGCCAGATGTCGGCACTTGTTTTAGCACAGAAGGCAAAAGCCACCCGAGGTACCTTGACAAAAGCCAGCATCACTATCTTGACAAATCGCCAGCAGATGTAGCGATGCTGAGACTCCATGCTGTGAGCCATGACTGCTGCGTCATAGTGTTGGCACTTGCTATAGCACAAAAGGCAACACCAGGGGCACCTTGACACAAGCCATCGCTACCTTGACACAAGCCAGCATCACTACCTTGACACAAGCCGCATCACTACCTTGACACAAGCCAGCATCACTACCTTGACGGATCGCCAGCAGATGTAGCGATGCTGGGACTCCATGTTGCGAGCCATGACTTCTGCGTCAAAGTGTTGGCACTTGCAATAGCACAAAAGGCAATACCAGGGGCCTTGACAAAAGCCACCAGGGGCACCTTGACGCACGCCGGCAGGGGCACCTTGACACGAGCCAGCATCAGTACCTTGACGGATCGCCAGCAGATGTAGCGATGCTGGGACTCCATGTTGTGAGCCATGACCTCAGGGTCAGTGGTGGGCTCGCACTCCTCTACCATGCGCAGCCACGCCTGCAAGAAGAGGGGAGGGTGGGAGGGGGATGAGGAAAAGATGGGGATGAGGAAATGAGGGGGATGAGGAAGAGAGGGGGATGAGGAAGAGAGGGGGAGAGTGCTGGGTTGGTGGTGGGGGGGAAAGGGGGAGGAACAAGAGCACAGAGTTGGTGGTAGGCTCGCACTCCTCTACCATGCGCAGCCATGCCTGCCAGCAGAAAGAGGGGGGCGGGAGGGGGATAAGGAAGAGAGGGGGAGAAACAAGACTGCTGAGTAGGTGATGGGCTGCAATCCTCTACCATGTGCAGCCATGCCTGCCAGCAGAAGGGGGGGGGGAGAATGGAAAGCAGAGGTGGGTCAGTGGTGAGCTCGCATTCCTGTAAGCATGTGCAGCCATGCCTGCAAGCATTGGGGGGGGGGAAGGGGAGAAAGGAGAAAGAAACGTGTTGGGTGCGTGGTGGGTTCAAATGCTTCCGCCATTTGCAGCGATGCCTGCAAGCATTGGGGGGAGGGAGAGAGGGAGAGAGAGCGAGAGAGAGAGAGAGAGACCATGAGTCCCTCCCTAGCTATTTAAGCTCTCTCCCTAGCTCATTCTTCCTGTTTAGTTTTCAGTTCTTTCTTTTTCTCCCACCCTTGGTGGCGAGAGAGAGGAGAGAGAGAGCGAGAGAGAGAGAGAGAGAGCATGAGTCCCTCCCTAGCTATTTAAGCTCTCTCCCTAGCTCATTCTTCCTGTTTAGTTTTCAGTTCTTTCTTTTTCTCCCACCCTTGGGGCGAGAGAGAGGAGAGAGGCAGCGAGAGAGAGAGAGAGAGAGCATGAGTCCCTCCCTAGCTATTTAAGCTCTCTCCCTAGCTCATTCTTCCTGTTTAGTTTTCAGTTCTTTCTTTTTCTCCCACCCTTGGTGGCGGCTCGGCCGCCGACGCTCGCGGCGCGGCCTTCGGCCGCGCATGAGGGGCGGCAAGAACACACGGCTTCAAAATCAACTACGACAACAGCCAGTACACGCATCCAGGGTCTACAACCCGCCAACACTACACTCGGCAAACAAGCATGGAGAGCCTCACAGAGCTTACCAGAGCGCTCACGCTAGGACGCACTTCACCAACAAGGACCTACACACGACGAGAGCCCGTCATGCGGCTTGGTCCGCTCCAGCCTCCTCAAGCAGGTCCTTCACGTAGTCCCCCAGGAGCATCAGTGCTGACACGGCACCGCCAACGATATCTACAGCTGCAGCCGAGTCTACGCTCGCCGATACCGTCCGCAACACGGCGAGCAGGCGCGGGTCCAACACGGTTCCCGAGGCGGGCGCAGGCTGCACACGCGTGGACACGACAGCCAGATCAGTTGCAGCCATCGCGCAGCGGTGGAGCGGATCATGTGGCATCTTACACGGGCTCACTGAGCTCCGTAGAACGGAGTGCGAGTCCGTCAACATCTCCACAGCATACCCCATCGCCCGCTGCGCGTGCCAGAGCCGACGAAGCGTGGCGTCTGGGATCGCAGTCTCCGCCAGTCGCTCCCTCCCTCGCAGGCGCTCCAGCTGCGCCCTCGGCGGCATCCGCATCCCAACCGAACGACCCACAGAGGGGAGGATCGGCGGTGGAGGCGCAGACAGAGGGGGCGGCACGAGGTGCTGGCTGTCGGGGAGCAGGGGGGACACCACACGGGGAGGGAACACCCGCGCCGGCACTTGAGGCAGGGGGAAACGCGCGGGCTGCTGGTGCGCCTGCTGGTACTGCTGGGACGACAGAAGCTGCGGGGAATACGCCAGAGCCTGCGGAGGCTGGGCGACAGCATGGACAAGGCCCTCAAGAGTCGCGGCAGCCCGCCCCAGGCGCCTCTCCGCAGCTGACCCGCGGTTACTCCCCCCGCCGGCCCTCCAGCCGACACGCTGGCCCGAACGACCGCGCGGCGCCTGAGGAGTCCAGCGCTGCTGCACTGGCCCCGTTTGTGGACGGCGCGGAGGCGTCCCCTGGCGAGAGGGATGTTGCTGGCGCGGCGTCTGATGCACCCTGCCATGCGCCGCGGGTGCACGACCGGTCTCCGAGGAGCGCTCGGGAGACTTCTCCTCGTGCCTCTGGGGCACGCCTGGTCGGCCACGCGACCGCCCACGCATCCGCTCGGGGCTCTGCGGGCGAACCGTCGAGGGGACGTGGAGCCCGCGCTCCCAATCACGGCTCGACTATGCTGGCGGACTCGCCCGACCTTGGGGGGACTCGCTATCCCCAGTACTCTCCAAATTGGCAAAACGCTCCCGCGCAGGTCGCTCCATCCCGAGGAGGCGCGCCGCACTCGGCACCCCCCACGACTCGGCACGAAAGCCGAACGGCGACCAGGGCCACCCCGAGAGGAAACCACGGAAGCGGACGCGGAAGACTCAATACACGTACCGCCGGAGGGCGCGGTCGCGGGGCGGCAAGGCGCGGCAATCTGTCCTCCGACGGAGGACCGCTGAACGGATTCCAGCAGGCAGCGAACAGGGCTTTAAGTGCCTCGGGACTGCAAAGAACAACTGGTGAGGAGGAGCGGGCGGACAGAACTTATATACCAGGGGAGCAGGAAGAACCCACGACTGAGACCTCCAGTGAGGAGGAAGGCGTCGAAACAAACAGGCGCGCTGGAGGAAGAGCGGCTGACCCAAATCCCAGATCTAGGGGACGAGGGTCCAGCCGCATGCACAATACTCGGGCACCGCTGGACACCCATCCCCAGGCAGTTCCGCAGCTGTCCCCGGAAGAACTGGCGAATTACCCCTCCCGATTCGCCGACATCGCCAATTGGGACATTGCAGTTCTCTGCGACAGTCGCCAACCCCCTCTCTCCCGCCGGTTACCCCCCCAAATCCGTCAACTTTTCGCGCTCGCCCTACTGACACCCCTCCTTTTCCTCGCCAAACATCCAACCTCCATCGAGGGTTGGATCCTGTTACTTTACCTCCCGCGCCTCACTCTTCGCCTACCTTCACCATGACGTCCTGACTGGCCCGCGACGGAAAGACGACTTCGACAATTTCTCGCGGGCCAATGGGACACACTGTATCAAGCAGCCGCCTCTGCTGTCACCCTGCCACCCCCTCCCCGCCACGTACCTGACACCCTTGGGAAAATATCCCGCGCCGAGGGCTTGGTACGACGAGGCAGTTTGCGACGGGCCCTGCTCGCGTTGACTTCGACCCCAGTCAGCAAGTCCACCCCCACGGTCCCGGACGCGCTGAAGTCAAAACACCCCCCTCCGCTTGTCGAAAACCTCACTTGGCCACAGCTCGACGAAAACTGCAGGCCACCGACAGTCGATTTCGCTACGTTCGCGAAGCTCCTTTCTTGCTCCGAAAATGGAGTTGGGGCAGGCCCCTCGGGGATGACCTTCGAGCACCTTCGCGACGCCTCGCTGTCCAACCCCTCCGTCGCCACACATCTTCACAAGCTTGTCCAGCGGCTACTCGCGGGTAACCTGCCGCACGAGGTCAGCCAGCTCGTTACCTCCTCACGCCTCCTGGCCCTTACCAAGCCAGATGGGGGTACCCGCCCCATCGCAATAGGCGAGTGTCTCCATCGGCTAGCGGCAAAATCCGCGCTAATCTCCTCCACGCAATCCGCGCAAGACTACTTCCTACCACACCAATACGGGGTAGCCATCAGAAGCGGCGGAGAAACCATCATCCATGCCACCAGGGGCTTTACCTCAGCGCGCCCGGGCTCACTCATCCTACAAGTCAACCTTTCAAACGCCTTTAATAGCGTCGACCGCGCCGCCATCATCCACGCAATCAACACCTCGCCCCTGCGCCCGCTCCTTCCGTTTATACAATTTTCCTATGGAGCTCCGTCTCTGCTCTATCTCGACGCCGAGTTCGATAGCCCACCCCTACTCAGCGCGCGGGGAGTTCGCCAAGGGGACCCCATGGGCCCCCTCCTTTTCGCAGCAGCCATCCACCCAGCGCTCCAGGCAACCGCCGCGGCCCACCCCGAGGTCCTCTGCCTCGCGTACGCCGACGACATCACTTTCGTCGGCGATCCGGACGCCTGCACCTCTGCGTTCCTCAACTTCACAGCGGCCATGGACCGCATCGGTCTCTCCCACAACCCCGCGAAATGCGCGGCGTGGTCTGCCGAGCACCCTGCACCTGACCGCCTCCCCCCAGACATTCCTTTCACTCCAGAAGGGGTCCACGTGCTTGGCAGCTTTATAGGCACGGCCGAGGGCACAGCCACCTTCCTCCGCACCCAGCTAGCCTTGCTGGCCGAGCCCCTCGCCACACTGGCCACAATGGACCCTCAGTCAGCATCCCTCCTCCTCACACGCTGCGGCTCTCGGCGTATCTCATACTTAACCCGCACCACCCCCCTTGACTTCCTACCCCTGGACGTCTGGTCCGACTGGGGACGGGAGCTATTCCATACTCTTCTGCGCGCCTGCAACCTCCAACCACCACGAGGCGAGGTGGAGCGAGCGCGCACTTGGGCTCAAGCGTCCCTCCCTCCCTCTCTCGGAGGGCTGGGTCTCACCGACCCTGCAATTGAGGGACACCCAGCCTACCTCACCAGCATCACCCAAGCCCAGGGCCTCTTGGCTGCCCTCCCAGCCGTGTCAGGAGGGCCCCTGGCTGATACTGTCCGGCACCTCACGCCTCCATTCACCACTCCCACCCACCTGCATACCTGGCTGGTGAAATGTGAAGCGACGATGCCCCCACAGGCCCGGGAGCTCCTGCACTCCGAAAGGAGGGAAACCTCAGGCTCCCCTCTCCAACACCGCTTATCCCTCGAGGTCCAGGCCATGCGATACGCCGACCAAGTGGCAGCCTCACGGACCATGGACCCAAACCCCCACTCCGGGCACACACAACGACTCTTCTCCTTGGCTGGATATGGAGCAGGAGACTAGCTCCATGCCATTCCCATCTTCCCATCCCTCCGCCTCGAAGCTCCACACTTCGCCATAGCCCTGGCCTACCGCCTCGGCCTTCCGTTCCCAGCCCCCCGCACTTGCAACTGCGCCGAGGAATTCGAAATCCTCG